AACGGCTTGTGATTAAACAGTTCGTAGATTTCAAATTTCCATGCACTTTTAATTCCGATTCGTGCAAATAAATCATCCCCTTAAAAAAGTTTAAAATAATATTTCTTACAATAACTCAAAAATCTGACAATTTTTCTACTTACTTTGACCAATTTTGTATTGCCTGGTGATCAGCCTTCTAACGATCCTGACGTGCAATTCTTCGTCTAAGACAGCAAAAAAAAAAGCTGGGGAAAAAGACCTAGCTCAAATCAACAATACCTTAACAAGATCTTCCACAAACGAAGCAATGAAAAGATGGTCCAGTTTGAGATCACGATTTCGAAGAACATCCATCAGTGAACTTTTGGCACAGAATTCTTTTACAATACAAATGGATGATGGGCCAATCACAATGCCTGCAATTTATGTTTTATGTTTACACCCTAACGTTGGCAGTCTAAATACATCGGCATCAGCTGTTGCCCCCAACAATTCGTTCGTGAGGGGAATAGTGGACTTCCGCACACTTTTTAATATTAATCACTGCACCTGCTGCCTTACCTATTCGCGCGACCAGGTTTACTTGTCGTCGTAATTCCTGAGGATTCCGAGCATAAAAACGCCGATGAGGTAGAAAAATATAGAAAAAATCGTTACCGCCAGTGAAAAGAAGCCAAATTTCGGCTCAATTTTGTTAACTTATTCTGTTTTGAGCTCACTGACGTATTCACAACCTAATTAGGTACTGTTTTTGCAGAAAATGGCCGCAAGGCTGCTTTTTATATCAGTTGCTTGATCTTTACTGCATTACCAATCGCTGGTCAGACTGATATTGGTTCTTTTTTATCAAGCAAGCTTAGCCGGACAAACCCGACGGAAAGTTTTATTGACATACTTGGAGCTACTCGGATTATACCTCGTCCAGCCTTGACAATGCCGAGTTCGTTGCCATTTCCAGATCATAATATTATTTTTTTTTACCACATTAACTAATTGAACAATTTTAATACTTGTATTACTATTTATTTTCCTCAACATTCTGTCCCCTACTAACATGCATTACACAGTTAACTTTATCCTAACCTTCACTAAGCTCTGTTACCACAATCGTCGTACTGAAGGAGTCCAACTGTGGTAATGGTAAGAAATGTATATGACTCAATGGACCGGAGCATTTTTTTATAAAATCTCACAAATTCTCCAATTTTCATTTCTCACTTCCCTTTTCTTTTTTTCCATTCTTTCCTGTTATAACTTTCTATTAGGTTGCGTTTTTTTCTTTTTTTTTTTTTTTTTGAAAGGAAAAAGAACGTTGCGGAAAAATTCGCCTATGTAATAACGTATGAAATCCCATGCAAAAAATCACGAAAAAGCTGAATTTTCCGAATTTAACTCACCCATGAATGAATTTACATTATCATGATGCAACTGACGCATAATCCTCATTTCCAGCTTAGCAGTTCGAGTCAATTCTTTCGTTTTTCGTGGATACGTGATCTCGTCGATCGAAACAACAGCGCCTTTATACAGTGCAACACCACACAGGCTTGGCCAGCGTTTCTCCTGGCTGTAATCATCGCCGTTCTGTAAACACATCTAAAAGCTCTGTCAATTGTAAATAACCTTGAAAAAAAAAACAGAAAAGCATAAAACAATACTTCTACTTCAGCTTTCTGCTAGAAGTTTTTAATTTTTTTTTGCAGTTTTTTTTTTCAAATTTTTGATTTTTCAAGGAAAAAAGACATTAATAACTTCCTCAGAAAATTTTTTAAAACAAATCAGTAACAGTTTTTTGGAAAAAATTTTTTGATTATTCGATTTTTCAGAAACTAAACTTCACGTTTTTTTGAAACTATCTTGCTTATTTCAGATTTTTTAATTTTTTGCTCACGCAGACTTTTTTAAATCCATTATTTTCCAATTTATTTTTAAATAAAACTTTTTCAAACTTAATTTTTCGATTTTCGAAATCAGATCCCACCTGATTGTCTTCCACGATATACAGCGAAGTGGCCGATTCGTAACACTGCACAATTTTTTCGATTTCACGC